GTGTGTTTTTATTTCTCTCTTTCTCAACCAATGCCAACGTCCTCACGGGCAAGTCACACACAGCCAATCACAGCCCACGTGCGATAATCTCGACCAATAACACTTCCCCCTTCCGGACAAACACACCACGTGGAGAAGATTAACACTAATTTACGCTACCTGAGACTTTTATAACAGGTAAACGTATATGAGGAGAAAATATTACAGGTGTATACAGATTTCTTCAGGTAACCGCGACAAAAACGACAAGATCCAACAAACGCTTTCCTAATATTAACATTTGTAGTGAATAATGTGCGTGTGTAAACCGGTAAATATCCTGTCATTTACAAGGTGAGACGAACAACAAGGTATATAAGTAATTACGACTAATGACAGTTACAGGTGTAGGAACCTTCTCTGGTCAAGGGTCACCACAGCACCCTTCCTCAGCCCTGACCTGGTGACATCGCCTTCAGGGAGACGCAGTGTTAGGGGGAGGGAGACGCAGTGTTTGGGGGAGGGAGACGCAGTGTTTGGGGGAGGGAGAGACGCAGTGTTTGGGGAGGGAGACGCAGTGTTTGGGGGGAGGGAGACGCAGTGTTTGTGTGTTTGGGGAGGGAGACGCAGTGTTTGGGGGAGGGAGACGCAGTGTTTGGGGGAGGGAGACGCAGTGTTTGGTGGTCCCTTCAAGCACCTGGGCCTGAGACATGAGCCCCAAGTGCCTTAATAATAATGTGGACCAGAGGAGGTGAAGCACAACACAGCGGGAGTATGTAGGTCATGTCGGTCACTGACGATGTGTAACCAGGGAACGGCGCGCACACACACACACACACACATGGCAGGTGGTGGTGAGGAGAGGAAGTTGCGCTCTCTCTGTTTTTTCTATTTTTTTCTCTATTTTCGAACTCTCTCTCTCTCTCTCGCCAAGGTGTTGTTATGCAGACGCGCCATATTTCTTGTGCACGGCTCCAGGGTGTGTTGTAGTGGCCACACCTCAAAACAATTATAACTTATCACACCTACCCTGCTGACGCCACTACCACCATCAACCACTCTCCATCAACCTCTCCACCAACCACTCTCCACCAACCACTCTCCACCAACCACTCTCCATCAACCACTCTCCACCAACCACTCTCCATCAACCACTCTCCATCCCCACCACCACTAACACCGTAAAAACAAAATTCCTTCAGGATGTATATTGGACAAGTTTGACCCATTATTATTATTATTATTATTATTCTTATTATTATTATTATTAGTTACCTCTCAAGCCAATCGTCCCGTGTTCGATCCCCGGCCAGTGACAAATAACAAAGTTTAAGAACCAAACACCAATTCCTTGCCGTAAGTTTCATCACACATTCAACAGAGTGAGTCGAGAACAACCCGGACACACTGCGACTAATTAAATTATTCTGTACTTCCAATGTAAACTGTCGTGGTGTAAGGTGTAAGGTGTAGTAGGGTGTAGGGTGTGAAGTGTAAGGTGTAAAGTATAAGGTGTAGTAGGGTGTAAGGTGTTTCAATGTGCTTCCCGGAGATGCTATACACCTGACAAGTGTTCCTACAGGTACATTTATAATTAACTACTCCAATCTGACACCGTAATTCACAGAGGTCTGACAGGTGACAAGTCCTTGTAGGTAAAGATACAGAAATTCACGAATATATTTGTCTTAAGTTAATACAAAAAAATACAAAATTATCACCAGAATTACAGTAAAAAAAAAGTCCAAAATTACAGTAAAAAAAGAAAAAAGTCCAAAATTACAGTAAAAAAGAAGAAAAAAGTCCAAAATTACAGTAAAAAAAAAGAAAAAAAGTCCGAAACTATTCCCCCTCAGAAAATTACAACAATGAGAGACTCAACCTTCACTTACCACCACCACCACCTAGTTTAATTCTCCCTGGTGCTGTCTGAAAGTATCTCGTTAAGGCAGACTCTCAACTGTAATGCTGGTCTTATTTCTGGACGTTGTGTTTAAATTTGTTGCAAGAAAAAGATTATAAAAAAAAAGTTAGTTATCGTAATTATTTTTTTTTTGAGATAGGAAGTATTAAACAGTGTAATCATTGTGTGAAACTTCCCAGGTGATGTAGCCAGAGTCCTCGGTGATAATGATAGTAAAGTAATACATAATTACAATGATGATGGTAATAATAATAATAATGATAATAATTATAGTAATAATAAAGATAATAATATTAATAATAATGATAATAATAATAGTAATAATAATAATAATAATAATAATAATAAAGATAATAATAATAATAATAATAATAATAATAATAATAATAATAATAATAATAATAATAATAATAATAATACTGGTTAAAACATCAAGTCGCGCCCCCCGACAACCTTCAGAGAGAGAGAGAGAGAGAGAGAGAGAGAGAGAGAGTGTGTGTGTGTGTGTGTGTGTGTGTCCACCTTCATTCCTCGGGATTTTCTCCTCCAACACACTATTGTATCTCCAAAATTGAGAACAACCCTCACCCCTCCCCTCCCCTCACCCCTCCCCTACCCCCTACCCCTCCCTCCCTCCCTCTAACCTCCTACCCCCTAACGGGCCTAACCAGTGAGGCTCCGATGGTCATTCAACTCTGGAGGGTCAAATCCGTAGAGTTATTCACGTTCTCTGGGTTAAGTAGTCAGTCCTGGCGAGCAAAACCCGTAGAGTTATGGGAGCAGGTCCGCTCACATGCCGACGACAGGTAGACAGTCAGCCAGGTAGGTACGGAAGGTGACACACACACACACACACACACAGAGGATAAGGCACAGAGATAGAAGCAGACAGACAGATGAAGACAAATGAAGAAAGAGAGAGAGAGAGCAATATTCAGAGAGAGAGAGAGAGAGAGAGAGAGAGAGAGAGAGAGAGAGAGAGAGAGAGATTAACACGCCCTCACGACCTCATCAAACAGACACCAGAGGGAGGGAGAGAGGGGAGAGGGCGGTAAACAGTGTGAATCAATTATGTATATTTTCACCAATTAGCTCTCTGTCCACAAAAGGTCAGGGATAACACTGAGGGGGCGGGAGTAGGAGGGGGAGTAGGGTGAAAGAGGAAGGGGGAATAGGGGGGGAAAGGGAGGTAGGGGGTAGGGAGGAGAGAGATAAAGAATGGAGATAGGGGAGGGGAGTGGATAAAATGGTGGAAGAAGAGGGAGGAGAGAGGAAGGATGAGGATGGAGGCCAGTTTACAGGGATCACCGCAACCTGTTTAGATTCGTACACACCTGAAGACTCGTACACACCTGAAGACTGGTACACACCTGAAGATTCGCACACACCTGAAGATTCGCACACACCTGAAGACTCGCACACACCTGGATGCTAGTACACACCTGAGGACTTTGTTCATATATTGATCACCGCAAAGGTAATTAGCCTTCTCCTTTTAACTCGACCGTAAACTTGTAATTGTACTTTCTTAAAGATATAAAATCAACACAATTTTATGACAATAATAATAATAATAATAATAATAATAATGATAATAATAATAATAAAATAATAACAATAAAAATGACACCACCAACAACTACTACTACTACTACTACTACTACTACTACTACTACTACTACTAATAATAATAATAATAATAATAATAATAATAATAATAATAATAATAACATATCTATACTTCCCCCAGCGCCAAGTTCAGCCATATGTATTACACTGAACAGCATTAACACGACACTTTATTGGTTGCTCTCCTCCCTGCCCTAATGTCACCTTTTAATACGACCACCTGTATAATGTAAAGTCTACTGCATAATGTAACTCAAAGTCAATTCTACAATGTAACTAAAACTCAACAGTATATTGTAACAACCAACACTGTCTCTTCAACAGTATATAATGCACATCATGTGATACAATGATAATGATGAAAGATTGCACAAAGACGCAATTAACTAGCTTACTAATACGACAGTGAGAAGGTCATTGTATAATTCTCTCCCTCTCTCTCCCCTCCCACTCGCTAGACCCTCTCCCTTCCCCGCCTCTCTCACCCCAGCACACGCGTTGACTGTCTGCCAAAGGGTGGGTGAGGGGAGAGGTGGGTGAGGGGGGGGTGAGGAGGGAGGGAAGGGGAGACGGTCATGAGGGAGGGAACCGTGGGAGGTGATGGTGGGAGGAGGAGGAGGAGGAGGAGGAAAGGGGGGATTTGGCGGGGAAATGAACAGTTGAGTGGGGGTAAGAGGGTTGTGGGAGGGAGGGAGGGGTGGACAGAGGAAGACGGGACCATCATCCTGAAGTGATTTCTTATATGTTGCATAATAGAACTTGTTTTGATTCTGATTTTGTTTTGTTTTCATTTTATAACACAGTTGGGGGGGGTGGGGGTTAGCATACACACTTACATAACATACACTCACGTGTAATTCAGGGAAGGTGGAGAAAACATCACTAGAACACAAGTTTAATTACACACAGCCCAGGTGGTCACTCATTTCAGGGGACACACACACTTATACCTGTCATGCTGCCGGCGTCACACTCCTCACGTCCATCATGTCTTATAAGGTGTTTACATTGGTACACCTTAGTAAATGTCAGTTGGTGTGGCCAAAGTGAAACTCATCACGGTGAGCCATGAATGAGGGGTAAATGAAAATGCGTTGTAAATATGCATTCGAGCTGATTAGCAAAACAGAGAGGTATATACATATATATCTAATTGCCTAAAAATTCAGCCAGACATTTCGTCATTGACCAGAGCCGAGGGCCCCGCACTGAGCATAATTCGAGCAGCCGTCTTGCTCATCTCCGCTGCCAGACGCAAAAGCTAATTCACCTACAAACATTTCTGTGTTTTTTAAAATGTCATCATTGACATGCAGATAACATTATTAAATCCCAAGTATCATTATATTATACTTTAATATAATTAAAAAAGTCGATCAAGAGAGATTGGACGAGACAGACTGTACAACAATTTCTTCTGGCAAAGTTTGGCCTTGTTGCTCTCCTGTTGAAATGTATCACTGTTGCTATGTGTAGCATCGAGAGCGGACGAACCGTTATAGTGCCTCATATCCCACGATCACTCGCACGCGATCACTCCGCGACTGACAGCCAATATCACCAATACTCTGTCACCAGTTTCAAACCTTCCAAGACGCCATTGTAGAAACCTGTGTCTTGGCAATGTTTATTAACCTTTAAAAGATGTGTAAGTAGTAAGACGTTTGTAAGTTCTGACATGATGTAATAACTATGTGATACCCTACGTCGGTTAAAAGCGTCCCACGGAGGAGTGTTGGGTGTGAGAGGATACCGTCAACATATAAAGAAACATCCTGAACTTGAAAACTCTTGAGTTCTGGCGTGAGGACATCGTCAACAGGAGTCCTTCGCATGTTAAAATCTGTCTGCGTGTGAGTGTGTCTGTCTGTCAGTCAGTCTGTCGCCACCTTGTGTGTCTTGAGCCCTTCCTGACGATGTGTTGGTGTCTGTAAGGTAGAAGAGGAGGCCTGTGCCACGCCCCTTCCTCCCCTCCTCTGCCGCTACTACTGACGAAGGGAGGACCTCTTGGTGGGTGGGTGCCGGCGGTGGCCAGGCCCCAGGTAAGGTGTTGAAAGGGTTACTGGGCAGTTACGAGTGTTATAGGTGTCTACGGGGCAGTTACAGGTGCTAAAGGGGCTACGGGGCAGTTACAGGTGCTAAAGGGGGCTACGGGGCAGTTACAGGTGTTGAGGGGATTACTGGACAGTTACAGGTGTTGAGGGGTTACGGGGCAGTTACTGGTGTTAAAGGGGAGCTACGGGGAAGTTACAGGTGTTGAGGGGTTACGGGGCAGCTACAGGTGTTAAAGGGGGTTACGGGGCAGTTAAAGGGGGGCTATGGGGCAGTTACAGGTAATAAAGGGTTACTGGGCAGTTACAGGTGTTAAGGGATTATGGGGAAGTTACAGGTGTTAAGGGGATTACGGGGCAGTTACAGGTGTTAAGGGGATTACGGGGCCGTTACAGGTGTTAAAGGGGGCTACGGGACAGTTATAGGTGTTAAAGAGGCTTCCGGGGCAGTTACAGGTGTTGAAGGAATTGCGGGGCAGGTACAGGTGTTAAGGGATTATGGGGAAGTTACAGGTGTTAAGGGGATTACGGGGCCGTTACAGGTGTTAAAGGGGGCTACGGGACAGTTACAGGTGTTAAAGAGGCTTCCGGGACAGTTACAGGTGTTGAAGGAATTACGGAGCAGGTACAGGTGTTAAGGGGATTACGGGGGCCTCATAACAAGCAAACAAAATCCCAGTAAATTTTGTGAGAGAAAAATCCCACAAAAATGACAAAAGGACAAAACAAATCATAAAATTCAATGGACAAAAAATCCCACAAAACCAAATATAGACTTAATAAAATCCCAAGAGAATAGTACAAAAGTCGACTCTATCCAGTAACCAAAATTGTAATGGAGAAAATCCCAACATTTATAAGTGACGAAATACCACCAAATAAATTATTGAGAAAAATGCTTATCACCGTGAACAAAATCCTAATTTATAATTAATGAATAAAATCGCAAAAATAAATATACGGTTTGTGGACAAAATACCCCTAAAACCCCCAAACTATGTGGACAAAATACCTTTACCCTAAAACTATGTGGACAAAATACCTTTACCCTAAAACTATGTGGACAAAATACCTTTACCCTAAAACTATGTGGACACAATCACCACCAAATTTCTGTAAGTGGACAAAATCCCACCTGATATTGTTTATCTAAGTTTCATCACGCTTTGAAGTTTCGGTTCAGTTAAGTGGGATTTTGTCTTCCAGTGGGGGTGAGGGATGTCGGAGGGGGGGGTGGGGGGGGAGGGGCGCCGGCCTCCGCATTCTTGTCAAGGACACTAGTGGCCTGGCTGACACGTGTAGCCTGGGAAACACACACACACACACACACACACACACACACACACACACACACACACACACACACACACACACACACACAGCCTCCATCATGGTGGTGCATTCTACACACACACACACACATGCCCGCGCACGCATCCTCCACCCCTATGTAACACTTATAATACCTAACACACACATACACAAAGTGGTTTCTTCACTGTGTAATACTACCACACACACACACACACACACACACACACACACACACACACTGTAACTTGTATGTTTCCCCCCGTGTTTCCTCCTCTCTCATTGTACTGTAAGCTTCTGGTAATTGACTCTTTCCCCATCTTCACCATGTGTAATGTACAGTCTGTCGACACTGTCAACCCTTACCTGCTATTTTATCTCGATAACCCGTAAATTATTATTATTATTAATCTGTTTTTTATTATTATTATTAATTTATTTATTTATTATTATTACTCTATTATTATTATTATTATTATTATTATTATTATTATTATTATTAATCTATTTTTTTTTATTTTTTTTTTTATTATTATTACACAGCCACCACCACTGTGTAGACCCTCGACAAACAGCATGATGTAACAGCCAGCAGACTCAGACAGTGTGGTCACATAACCCCCCACCCCCCTTTACTGGCGCCTCTGAATTATTTCCAACTGTCCCGTTTCATCAGACAATGTTAACTACTTCTTTTTATAACCAATTTTTATAACCAAACAGTCATCATTGTACGTGATAAGTTGTAACAATCGCGCTAGTTCACGGCTTCCACAGGTGAAACAATACTGCAGGTTAATAATTATATTGATGATATTTCTGGCCCAGGATTATCACACTTGATAATAACTTGTAAAAATCAGGGAATAGTTCAGGGTCCGGCCACTTGAGTAACCTTTAGATCGGCCAAGAATCATTTCACACGGCAAGTTGTATAAACCATCTTGAGATACTGAGTTTGTTTATTATTATTATTATTATTATTATTATTATTATTATTATTATTATCATTATTATTATTATTATTATTATTATTATTATCATTATTATTATTATTATTATTATTATCATTATCATTATTATTATTATTATTATTATTATCATTATTATTAATATTATTATTATTATTATTATTAAAGTGTTTACGTATCTTCTTAAGGTTGAGGTTGGCTGCCATGTATTTTTTTTAATAATTTACCCTAAGTCAGTATAGAGAGTTAATGTCCCTCGTTATTCCATTTTACGAGAAACTTTCAACTTACGAACATTTATTTAGAATCCTGGACCTAGAAAACACAAGAGAAACAAATGAGGAAATAACGATAAAAATATGATTAAAAAATGATAAATGTGGAATTTACGACTGAAAAATTACGATTATATAAAAAAAAGAATAATAAGCCGCGACATTAAGGATTCGTTCAAAAGTTATCTTCATCATGGCAGTCAGTTAATCAGCCTTGGCATTCAGAGAGCTGACTGACGCACCTACGAATGTGTGTGTGTTTCTCTGAATGTTTGTGAGTGAACGAGTGAATAAGCGAGTGAGTGAGTAAGCGTTCGTGCAATGTCCATGTCCAAATCATAGGTTAGTTATTGAGTCGCTTTACATTTTTTGTATACCTTTTATCCTATTTGTTCAACAATTTCATAGATTTGATCACAGAAAGCGAATTCATGTCCGTCGAAATTACACGCTGGTCACAATTTAAATATAAGTAACAACTATGTTCGATAATGTATAACTAAACGGGGGGGCGGTCGGACAGACAGGGGAGTGAGGGGGGAGTATTCGACGTTGCTTCAGGCTTGACAATAGTGACTTGAAAATCTCGCCAAACTCGAACGAAAATGAAAGAAACAAACACTAAACTTTTGCCTAATACTGTATAATCCAAAGCTTGATGACGTGTGCTTGTCTTGTCCTTAGTTGTTTTTTGCGAGGAGGTTTACCACACCAACCAAACCCAATTTACACTCGACTTATTTTAACACCACTACCACCAGATTACTGTAGTTACACATCTGTGCTCGTATGAAACATCACATCTACATAATACTGTACACACATAAAATTATCAATATTAATATTATTATTACTATTATTATTTTACTTCTTACAGTACAGTGCCCCACCTCTGAGCTGAATAAAATCGTCTGGTAATAGGGAAATAAAGCATTAAAAACAACAGTGGTGTCCCCCGTATAGTAAAGGGGTTAAAAACCACTTAATGTCTAACAGGTCCTCATAAAAAGTTCACACACACACAGAAGAATGTTCACGTCTTTGTATAATCCTAAACCTTCCCTTGGAGTCTCCCGGGCAAGGCTCAAGCAAGTCCAGGAACCTCACAAGTTCTCTCTCTCTCGCTCTCTCTGGATCCGGGTTGGAAAAGATTATACTGTACACGTTAATATTACCACTTAGCTGCATCTGATGCTAAACCCGACGTATATAATCAAGGTATCGTTTTAATGCAATATTGATGTTCCTTTGAGATTAACCGAGCCAATTGGATGTGTTCGAGTACCTCCCCCCTCCCCCCCCTCCGTCTCCTTCAACGCCCCCTCCCCATCACTCCCAGCCCCACTCTCTCCTCCTTCTCCCCGCCCCCTTCCACTCCCTCCCCATATCCTCCTTCCCCAACCCTCCAACCATGAGCGAAATTCAACGCTATACAGAACTTTTGAGAATCAAGACTTTAAAACGTCAGTGCTTTTAACAAGTTCTAAAAGTACAGTGATGATATTGATCCAGAAATATTATCACTTATTGTACTGTTCAGGTGTATAGGGGACAACACCCACTAGCGATGGTTATCTAGTGTGTGTGTGTGTGTGTGTGTGTGTGTGTGTGTGTGTGTGCGCGCGTGTGTGTGTAAAAAAGTTAGCCTTGGAAGGTAATTTAATTTGTGGTCTGAAACATAAGGGTTAAGTTAGTCTCAGGTATCTTAAGTTAGCCTAAGTTAACATTTGGTATTTAAAGGCAAGAATTAAACTCAACGTATAAAGATTAATTACTCACGCGGTTAAGAGCTGTACACGTCGCCTTCACCTATGATGTGTAGGTTAGGTTAAGTGAGGTGAAGAGGTCGGTCGAGTTGATTAACCACAGACGGTCGTTAAGATGATAAACAGAGACTTGGGCATAAAGACACCCGTACACCGGCTCCCTCCCTCCCTCCCTCGCTTGTAAATATTATCAAGTTTTTCTCTCTCTCTCTCTCTCTCTCTCTCTCTCTCTCTCCCGAAGCTTGTGAATGGTTGGAGGTATTAATTGGGCCGCATCGTATTACCTATTTCACGCCTTGCTCCTCACTGACGATGTTTGGGTTTAATATTCCCGTAACGTGTCGAGTGTTTGGGTTTGGGTTCATGGGTTTAGGTTTATGGGTTCATGGGTTTGTGTTTATGGGTTTGGGTTTATGGGTTTGGGTTCAAGGGTTTGGGTTCATGGGTTTGGGTTTGGGTTTAGGTTTATGGGATCATGGGTTTGTGTTCATGGGTTTGGGTTTGGTAGGGGTAAGAGGAAGGGTGAGGGAGTGTGAGAGACTTAGGGAGGGTAATGGTAGAAGAAAGGGGTGAGAGACAAGGTAGGAGAAAAGAGTGAGGAAATGAGGAAGAATGAAAGACAGAGAACGTGGAAGAAGAAGAAGAAGAAGAGAGAGAGAGAGAGAGAGAGAGAGAGAGAGAGAGAGAGAGAGATACCTCACCTAACGTTTTTAAAATTTGTTGTCTAAAGTGTGTGTAGTAAATAAGAGAGATACTGAACACTGGTGCTTCAAGAGTCCTGAATGCTTTTAAAACAATAACATGAGAAGAAGCGGTGTGTGAGGGGCATATGTGAAGTGAAGAGTCGTGGAGGGGTGGGTGTACAGGGGAGAGGGGGAGGGTGGCGGGGAGGGTGGGGAGCAGGGGGGTGGGGGGAGCAGGGGAGGAGAGGGAGATAAAGGAAGAAGTGAGAGAGAGAGGTAAGAATAACGACAGGCACGTGTGGAGGAGGAGGAGAGAAAGAGGGTTTAGAAGGGAGGAAAGAGGAAAAGAGATGGAGTGGAGAGGGAGGAGGGATGGGAAAGTGTTGGAGAAGGGAGGAAAGGTTGGAGGAGGCAGGAAAGAGAAAAAAAAAGAGATGGAGGAGAGAGGAAGATAAGGAAAGAGAGAAGAGTGAACGGGCAGAGGGAAGGAGAGTAAGGAGAGAAGGAAGGAAGAAAGGAATAGTCAGAAGTAAAGAAAGAGGGCGCTCACCTTTCAACACCTGACATAGTTCTAAAAGTCGACGGATTCTGAGTCGCCATTAACCATATTTACCTTCATTAACAGGACCTCATGATGATTAGGAACCTCTCAGACACCCTTACACCCTCACCACACCCTCACCACACCCCCACTAACACCACCACACCCACACCGAGGCCATTACACCCATCTGCTCAGATACCAGACAGCCAGACAAATAAATTTCGACCTCAGACGCGTAAGATAGAGGCAAGAACCAAACGTGGCAGCTTCGACCTCTTTAACTCAAACTTTTGTAGGTCGTCGACTTCCGTATGTCGAATATCACTTGGATTTGGGTTTCGCTGCGTCTAATGCCACTTATCATTGTCTTCAGAGTGTCGAAATGCATTTGTATAAAACTGAGGGTTGGATTATGCTTGTGGTTGTCGAATACCAGTATCACTAAGAGGTTCAGGTCGAGTTTCACCTCGTCTCGACTTGTGTGTGACGAATTTTACTCAATTTCGACTTTTTTTTTCCGAATTACCGTATGATTCGACCTGTACACGTCAAAGACTCCTATAATTCGACCTGTACACGTCAAAGACTCCTATAATTCGACCTGTACACGTCAAAGACTCCTATAATTCGACCTGTACACGTCAAAGACTCCTATAATTCGACCTGTACACGTCAAAGACTCCTATAATTCGACCTGTACACGTCAAAGACTCCTATAATTCGACCTACACACATCAAAAGACCTCGTACTCGACTCAAGTCTTCCTCATTCTCAATTAAGGTCTCCTCCCCCCCCTCCAGCTTGACCTTGTTATCGTGAACGGCGACCTGGCGTTATTGATTTTTAGGTCTATGATTTGTGTTGTCCCCGCACCTTCCCGCTCGTCCTTGACCTCTTGCACTCAATATTTACTCGTCCTTGACCTCTTGCACTCCATGTTTACTCGTCCTTGACCTCTTGCACTCCATATTTACTCGTCCTTGACCTCTTGCACTCAATATTTACTCGTCCTTGACTTCTTGCACTCAATATTTACTCGTCCTTGACTTCTTGCACTCCATATTTACTCGTCCTTGACCTCTTGCACTCCATATTTACTCGTCCTTGACCTCTTGCACTCAATATTTACTCGTCCTTGACCTCTTGCACTCAATATTTACTCGTCCTTGACCTCTTGCACTCCATATTTACTCGTCCTTGACCTCTTGCACTCAATATTTACTCGTCCTTGACCTCCTGCACTCCATATTTACTCGTCCTTGACCTCTTGCACTCAATATTTACTCGTCCTTGACCTCTTACACTCAATATTTACTCGTACTTGACCTCTTGCACTCAATTTTTACTCGTCAGGCCAGATTAGGTGAGGTTAGATTAGGTTTGATTGTTAGGTTTGGTTAGTTCAGGTTAGGTTAGGTTTGGTTAGGTCAGGTTAGATTAGGTTGGGTTGGGTTAGGTTTGGTTAGGTTAGGTCAGGTTTGATTAGATTTGATTAGGTCAGGTCAGGTTGGCGTTAAGGTGTTTAATCACACGGCAGAAGGTGGGGGGTGCCTAATCTTCAGGTGATCCCAATTCCCGTCCACCAGGGGGGAAATTAAACCTCGCCATGGACACACTGACAGAGGCGTTGGCTCGTGTTCAAGTCTTAGTTTTGTATTTCATTCATCCAATCTCCTTTACCGATCGACTGGAGAGGGCAGCTGGCGCCAAGAATGATCACTGACACTCGCTTCATTCATTCATTCATTCATTCACTGTTTACTTCTCTAATGGGCGAATTAAGGTTGATAATCCGGATGGTGATGACTGATGACTCGTGTGTAGAATCTTATGGTACCAGTGATTTATCGACGTGTGAGGTGGCCTTTGTTTGGATGATATAATGTGTCGGTAAGCTTTGTGTGTGTGTAGGTGTGTGTGTGTGTAGGTGTGTGTGTGTGTAGGTGTGTGTGTGTAGGTGTTTTGTTTTTGTGTAGAGGGAGTGGAAGCGGTTGCATCCATCAGCAGGGTTCAGTGCCTCAACGTCAAGGTCAAGGTGTTGGCCCAGCTGGTGTAAGGCGGATGGGGCTGCACCTCACCACAACACGGAGATGCTGCTGTAATCTTTGTGTGTGTGTGTGTGTGTGACCACCTAAGGTACAGTATTAACAAGGTTGGTGGTATCATTACAGAACTGGTGCATCATGGCTATGGCTCCTAAGAAGAAGATTGACTTTTTCAACGGTGGTCGGGGAGTTGACCGGAACGAGCCCTTCTGTGAGCAGGATCCTCGCCGCCAGCTGGCAAGACCCGAGGTAGTGCCTGAATCTTATGGCTACGGCGGGGACTGTGGCCGCTACCCCCCCAGCTCTCCAGGGGGTTACATGCCCCCCAACAGCCCCAGTGTACACCAGTACCACAGCGACTACCCCCACCCCAGCAGCCCCACTGGACAGCAGTACCACAGCGACTTCCACCACCCCACCACCTCTCGTAGTCAGAGCCCCACGGCATACGACATCGGGCAAGAGGGGTACACCTCCTCCGGCGGCTACCCCCCCAATAGCCCGTCAGACTTCGGAGGGTCGAGCGGAGTCGATGGTACAGCTGGACCCTCTTCTCCCGCCGATAATGATTCCAGGAAGAAAAAGCGAAAACAACAGTAATATCATCTGTCTCTCTCTGTTATAATAATTTATTGAAATACAAACTGACCATCAGGTGTTGTTCAACTTACGCTAGTAGTAAATATTCATGGCCTACTTTATGCTCTGTGATGCCATAGTAAACCAATACCTGTTTGTGTTTAGTATTTAAAACTCTATATCATTTACTTTCCTTTCAGGTGTCGTCTGTGTGCTAACCACGGCGCTTATGTGCAGGTGAAGGGCCACAAGTGGTACTGCCCGTACCGCGAAAACCACACCTGTGAAAAATGCACAATTACTAAGAAGCGCCAATTCTACATGGCGGAACAGCAGAAATTAACGCGAGAACAGCAACAGACGGCCCAGCGAGGCGGCACCCTTGGAGGCTGCGGCATCGTTGGTGGTAGTGGTGGTGGTAGTGGTGGTGGTGTTGTTGGTGGAGGAGCGAGCGAGGCACCCTGCAACATACCCAGCGGAGTTCCCATGGAGACGACACAAGCGCCGAGACAGACAGGTGCGCCCACCGACTTCCCCCGCCTAGCAGAGCTGGTGAGAGAGACCTCCAACATCATCAACGAGGACTTTTTTGCGATGATCGACAAGGTGGTGCGGCCCAAAGCTCAACACTGACACCTTCCCCACCTAGTGGCCGACCTGTGAACTGAGGTGGAGTGTGTAACATGCAAGTGATCGTCATTTTGTGTCAAAAGACTTAAAGCCAGTTAGAAATACGTGAACTATTTATTTTTACTTGGAGAATAAGTGAACCGAATTATATTTAAGTGTAAAAATAAGCGAACCGAATTATTTACAAGTGTAGAATACAGAAATTGACTCGTTTTTACTTGGAAGAAATGCACCGAAGCGAATTGTTTTCAAGTGTAAAACGCCCACAAACCAGCCATTTCTAATACCCAATCGGCTTGAGATGATCAAGTTATTCCAAGAATCAAGTGTGTGAGCTCCAAGGGGGAGTGTGTGATAGTGATGAAGTAATCAGTACCTGCTGGAGACTGTGATGAAGCCTCGTGATACGTTACCATAAGTCGCTCCCTGACCACAGCGCCTCGGTCACCAATCAACTCTTCTATTATTTTCAACACTAAATTTTAACCCTTAATAAGCTAGTACATTCTGGATCTTTATTCGCAGCTTCTGAGTTGTCTATTTATTTAGCATATTGTGATCATTTTTATTTTGATATTGTCTTGTGTAGTAAAGTAGAGCTTTCCTATTGTTCAGTGACGAGTTCTTAATTACAAACCCAGAAAACTATCCAATATTGAGGTTGTTTCTTAGGCAAGTTTCGGCAGATATTTAGGTCTTAAACTTTTTATTTGGCAACTTCTGGCACTACTCGATAATTCCTGACCATTATCTTGGCTTTCCCAGACATTTACCCTAAGCAAGGTCTCGTTTGGTCTCATTTCCCAATGTGTCTTGACTGCCGTCGTCTGTAGCTGTGTCGAAGTGAGTGCCTCTTATGTGGCCAAATTTTTAATCGTGCAAATTTATACAATTAGAATTAATCTTTACATTTATCTCCTCTATTTATTGTTAGCTGACAGTGAACAAGTGTGTGTACTTAACGACGTGCATGTGGCTGTGTGCTGGTACAAACGTGGTTGGGTACTATACGTGTTGTTGTGTTTACTCTTAAGCTTCTAACTAGTCTTTCACTTGTTGCTTTTTGTCTTGACTGTCAGACCATCTCTGTGTGGTGAGCTCTGCATTAAGTAACTCGTATATACGCTGTATCAAACTCCCGTAATGATAAAACAAAACAAAAAAACTCTAGCTATCCTTACGTGCTTTTGTCTCTCACCAATACATATACCAGTCACACACACACACAGACACACACACACCAGGCACGTAGGGATACCAGTTAAGAGTCTTCGTAAACTGACCTGACTGACCTGCTATCGTAAATGACGGCCGCGAGTGGTGCTGTAAAACTCGCAACACAGACATGGTTTGTTAACTTATCCAACTTGTTTTAGTATTGGCTAGTAGGAGAGCCTTCACGGAGGTTGCGATGCATGTAAACAAACAACAAAGGAAGGGGCTAGAGAGTCCTCGGGCAGTGGAAGGGAATAAAACAGGGAATGGTGTGGAAAAGAGATGGAAAGGGAGAGGGGAGTATTGTTGGTTAGGGACACAGAGGGCGGGGTAAGACACAGAGGGACAATTGGGAGGAGGAAGGGAAGACGATTGGGTGGGGAAAGTTAAGGGAAGTAAAGGAAGCTGTAGAGGAGATTAGTGGAGGGACTGGGGGAAATAGGGTACCATATTGGAGGAAGTAGGGAAAGTTTTAGGGGAAGTAGGGAAAGTTTTAGGGGAAGTAGGGAAAGTTTTAGGGGAAGTAGGGAAAGTTTTAGGGGAAGTAGGGAAAGTTTTAGGGGAAGTAGGGAAAGTTTTAGGGGAAGTAGGGAAAGTTTTAGGGGAAGATGTAAAAGAAAGGGAAATTTATTTAGTTAGTACAGATAATCATTTGACGCTGTAAGGTTATTATTATAGACTGTTAACTTAATAACTGTACCACATGTTGGTCAGTGAGTCAACCAGTGTTATCTTAAGTAGGTTGGCTATCTGGGTCAGTTTAAGTGCTTGTTATCAGGGGTTCAAAGTTAGCACGATATCATTTACTGTGTGTATGTGCTTGCTTGCTTGTGTGTGTGTGTGTGTGCAGAGGACGTGTTATACTTACTCTGAACCCCTGAACTGAACCCTTATATACTAACTCTGAACCCCTGAACTGAACCCTTATATACTCTACATCAATTGTCAACCCACCTCCGAGTACAAGGTATGGGTGTGACACACACACACACACACACACACACACACACACACACACACGACCCTCCAACTACTATACTGAGGCAAATTACATAACGTGGTGGACTTTGAACAGATGGCTAACTATGTGTGTTTTTTTTATAACACTAAAGGAATGATGAGCTTTACGTAAACACAGTGCCAGTAACACCAACCATTCTATTATCTTCACCGTGAGATATATAATGTATAGGGAGTTATTTACACCGATTAGCTCAACAGTGGGAGTGATTATCAGCCAAAGATTATGAGTTACTTTAAATATCATGTATAAGAAGTTTTGAACAGGAGGTTATAGTGAAAGGATTTTTGTTGATATGAGATGAGGAGGAAGAGTGATTGGTTAGTTAGTTACCTGGAGACTCTACTGTACCTTGACCACTTTGAGTGAGATGATTTTACCTCTTCAGTACGATGACTTAACCCTTTGAGTAAGATGTCATAACCCCTTTCACTGCGATGACTTAACCCCTTGAGCAAGATGCTTTAACCCTTTAAATACATCTTAAGACATCGTACTCAAGAGGTTAAGTGGGCATTTTCATTTAGTACTCGTTAGGAAACAGTATCAACCAACTTACAGAGATAAACTTTGGCGAGTCAGGACTATGATGTATAAACTGACACCTTCAAACTCTTTTTTTTTCATGTCATCCTCAATGGGGAAAAAAAACTACTTTCCCCACCTAAAAGAGACCGTGTTACACCCTCCCTAACTAACTAACATTCGATATCGTGTACTAATAAATCTTTCTCACCCAATATACTCTGGTTGTAAAGAACTATCATCAAACACAGACAATATGCACAGAAAACCCGACACAATAAAGCCGAGGTCTGAAGCCACCGATACACTGGGACATTCTCAATAATATAAGAGGGAAATGACACTATATATATGCTTTGGAAAAATACAGATTGAAAGACACTCGTTTCCTTTATTCAAATATTGTAGGTTTGTGTGTCTGGATGTACTGTACACACACACACACACACACACACACACACACACACACATTTATTAAATAAGTGTGTGTGTGTATGTATGTGTGTATGTATGTATGTATGTATGTATGTATGTATGTATGTATGTATGTGTGTATGTATGTATGTATGTAAATATAGGCAATAGAGGGCGGGTATACATGAACGTTTTCTTACACAAATCATTACGACACACACATGACCGGTATAGAGAAACAGTCCCCAAGTACAGCGGTTTAGGACAGAGGATCCAGAACAGTAAAAAGACCTGGAATGGGTAAACGTCTCACTCTATCTCGCGGCTCCTTCCCACTCCCCTTCCCTTCCTCCCTCCCTTCCCTCTCCTGTTCCACCCCCTTCCTCACCTCGCCTCTGTCTCGGGAAATAACACATTTACTCCCCAACCCTAGGTCTACCTTGGTCTAACTCAAAGTCAACTTAAGTTTGGAAAGGAAAAAAAAAGACTTCACGTGAGAGCACTATGTTACGACGACAACTTGTTGGATGGTTTACGTGTGTCTAGGTCTAAATCTTAAAGCAGACGAGTGGGAAGATAATGTAAACACTATCGAGGAATGAATTATAATGCGTTTTTTGACTGCTCTGGAATCTTTAGTTCGGTTCATTAGGCAACTCTAAATTGGGCTTAAGAGCAACGTGACCAAACTCCTATATGATTACAGCTAAACTCTTATTTACTGAAGTGTTAGCACTGTAATATCTCATCATCAAAGCTAACAATGCTGCAGCTATTCCTATCTTACTACAAGGAAACCCCGTAAGTTACTTTAGCCGAAGCTACTCTCCGTGGCTGCAGCAAAACGCTATCTTGTTGCATCTCCGTTTGTCATTGGTGTTTCAATAGACGCAGTGTGATCTGCCTCTGTTATAAACTGTATCTAGTGAACTTCAATGCCTTCTATTATAAGCATCTGCGTAACTTAGGACTAGCATACACTTATATGTTACTATCAAACACACACCATAAGGGTCGGATTCTCATAGGTTCCTACGTTAAATTTCCTCGGTCACTGGAGATGTAAGAACGTTTCTATCTGGATGCACAAACTGAAGCACATAACGTCCAAAATGACCCCCCCCCCCAAAAAAAATAAAGACACACACACACACGCGTTCTCACATAAGCAGTAAAGGGCAAAAATTCAACGCTTTGGAACTCTATGAATCTGATCCGCAAAAAAATATTCCCTGATCCCGGTAAAAATTTATATCTTAAAAATAAAAGTAAGAAAGAGTTGGCTTTAACTAGCAAGTGTGAGGCGAGTTCTGTGATACCTTGGTGCAGTCTAATATAAGCCTTAATGTTTATATATGCAGTGTAAATTAATACAGAATTTCCACCTTTTTTTAGCAGTGATGTATTGTTTCGGCTCATTCACGTATTAGTGACTGGGGGAGGGGGGGGGGGGGGACTCGAACCAACCCAGCCAAACCTTGTCCAAAATGCCCCTTTTTGAGATCTTTAAGTTAAATGCGGTGTTGGTTAGGTTAGGTTGGTAGTAATTCTTGAGGTCCAACCATGGTCGTGTTTAGCCTATGCTGCAGTGCTTGTTGGTAGCTACTGTATGTGTTTTCTTAGTAAGTTAGGAACCTCTCATCATCATCATCATCTTTTATTATTAGTTTCCCTATGTGTTCAAAGTGGAGTTCGACCATTCACCCTTAACCACACTGTAGAGATTTAAACTAGTGTCAGGCGTGTCAGATGTAAACCACCGTGTCAGGTGTGTCAGATGTAAATCACTGTCAGGTGTGTCAGATGTACACCACTGTGTCAGGTGTGTCAGATGTACACCACTGTGTCAGGTGTGTGTCAGATGTACACCACTGTGTCAGGTGTGTGTCAGATAAGGTCATAATTGTGTTGTTGTCCCAAACGAAAGTAAGGTCACTCCATCACACCTCAAGTGATGTGTGTGGACCAACTTACTGTGTCCCAAGTGTAGGATGGACCGTTATATCTTACCCCAAGTGACAACCACTTTACCCCTATCTCCCTCTGTCTGTTATGGTCCTCTGTGAATTCTTCCCTCTTCATTGTGGTGTCCCTAAGTGAACACTGAACCACTTTTCTGTATCTCATGAGAAGTTGGGGGCCACTTTGCTACGTCCAAGATAGATAGATAGATAGGTATAGATATATATATATAAACCTCTTCCTGTGTCCTCTACAGGGTGTGGCTACTTCCAGCGCACGTCATCACCACCAGGTCCAGCCACACTGTTGTCATCCCCCAATATGCATTCATATTTAAGTAATCTCCTGCCAAATATGGACGCGAGATTGTCTATGCAGAATGATAATCTACGATGAACAAAGACAAGTAGTACAGAGTGTGTGTGTGAGTGTGTGTGTGTGTGTACGTGTGTGTATGTGTGTCACTCCCGTACTACT